ATTTTCGGTATTCGTTTTCTTAAAATACAATACAAATACCGTACCTAATTAAATTCGGTATTGTTCGAGGTTTTCTCCTTTCGGTTCCGGTTTATTCGATTTGGTAGCTTCAATTTATTCATTCTGAATACTAACTAGTGCATAGAGTCAAAGATTATAATGTTCTAAATTAAAGTACTCAAAGTACAAAACAAAAATAATTAGGGTGTGTTTGGTATAAAGGAAAATATTTTCCATGGAAAATATTTTCCAAGAACTAGCAAATATCAACTCAGAGAGAGAGAAAATTGTACATAAAAAAATAAATTTGATCATTAGAAATATCTTGTTACTTGCTTAGAGTTAATTGATGAACTTTGGGAATAAAGGAAAGTAAAATTTTAGATTTTTATATTTATGTTATAATTAATAATATGTGTATTATGTAATATAATATATATTTCGGTATGAATATTGGCATTTCAGTATTTCATTTTAAAATACCAAATACCATATCTAATACCAATATTTTTTAACTTAAACAAAATACCATATCGAATACTAAAATATCGAATACCAAATACAAAAATTTTCGATTTCGATACGATAATTCGACATTTACCAAATTATGCACAGCCCTACTGGATTCTATCGAACCTTGAAACGATACTCTAACTCTGCCTGCCTATGAGTTGTTTACTTACTACACCTTTTATATTTATCTTATATACATGATCACGCCCAACTATGCCTTATAAAAAGGACAATGCGGTCGTTGCAAATATAATCCGGTTTACAAGTCCGGAGTCGAATCCCACAGAGAACTAAGGTTTAGCTACAGCTGTTCACTATCACCAAGAAGACAAGCTTGAACAATTCCTAACTTATAGATATTAAGATTCTTGTGTTTAACTACTTAACTAACAAATTAAAATAGTAAATTAACAACTAACGATACTGAGGGTTAGAGAAAAGATTAAGGAGGTCTAGAGTTATGATTTTCCCAATTATCGGAATCCTTCCCGCTATGTCTTCTATAGTTTCGCCTAAGTATTCTCTACCGATCATGAGCACTCTTATTATCGTAAATCTCTCCCGAGTAATTACGACAATTTACTAGACGCACTCTCCCAAGCTACGCTAGCTGGCTTTTAATACAGCTCACTTCAGATCGCACCCAAGGCTTCGTTATCCCTAATCCCGCCTTTAAACCCTCGGTTATTGATCCCTCATATACTCTAGGAGTGGTGGTGTTCAACAATTACCTAAATATGCACTCTCTCCCGAGTTATGCATACTAAATAGGCACAACTAATTGAGAGCTCTTCAATCAACCACAATATAAACGTAGTTAAACAAATAGAGAAAAGCTATGGGTCAATTATATAAAAACATAACAAGAATTTATCCTACAAAAGGTTCTATCAAAACTCTAGATAACAAATTAGCTATTCATAATAGTATGTAAAACTACAATACTAAAAGTCATAACCAACAATGGAAAATAGGAAGAGGAAGGAAAAACTCGTAGAAGAATTCTCCGCCTTGCTCCCAATGTGTTCTTGCCTCCAAGGGTGTTGTCTAACCCTAAAGTAGTGTCTCCTGCCTCCTTAGGTCTAATTTGTGTCCAAAATATGTCCCCTTCCCTTTCTTGGCCGGCTTCCTTGGTTTAATATAGGGTTTAGGGCTTAAAATCCCGTATTTTGCACATAAGTCCCTGAAATTTCCGCCTCCTGCTGCGGTTTTGCCTCTGTCGCGGTGGAACCGCGGCCAAACATGCCCTCTGATTCTTCAGTTGTCCGCGACCATCTTCTACCGCGGTTCTGCCGCGGTCGCGGTGGAACCGCGGTTTTTCACCCTGTTCCGTTTGGAATTTGGAAAAACGTATAACATGAAAGTTGTATCCCTTTGAGTTAGCTTTCCAACCATATATTGTGGAGCCCAAATGGAGTTCTGAGCAAAAAGTTATGCCTATTTTACTAGACAGTGCGCAATATGCCTTCTCAAGTCTTCGTTCGTACTTAATTATCAAATTTGACCCCCGAACACGATCCCGGCTTAATTCCTTGAGCTTTTACTCAGACTTCAAAGCTTCAAATCACTTAAATTCATTCCATAACATCTATATAGCTCGGAATCACACCTACAAGGCATAAAACACACAATTAGTGCAAAACACTAGCGATTAAAGCGCAAACTCAATTAAAGTGCAGTAAATTAGAGTGTAATAAGCGACTAAAATACGTAATTATAGCCTATCATCAATACACAAGCATAATCAGAATTAAAGCTTTGCCATCTTAATTTATTTCAATCAGCCGTAGAAGTAATTTCTTTTGTTTTTTAAGTTTTTAGTGTCTCTTTTCGTGAACAGTTACTGTAGTGATTTGTATTCTTCAAGTGACCTGGATGTTTGTCTAAAGGAAAGAACATTAGTCTATAGTGCACGAGATTGGATTAGTTCATTTACACATTTTTACTCCTTTTTAATTATGTGAAGAATAAATATTTTAGATTTTATACACCATTGTTTTTTCATTGTTATTTTATACAAAAATGATTAATTAAATTGTTTTATTTAAAGCAAAACCAATACCAATTCTCTCAAAAGTAAAGCAGAATCAAGTTGGTTTGCGATTTAAATGCAACCATTGTCTCTAGAAATCAGTCTTAAATCTTCTACACCAATCTTTGTAAATGGATAAAAAATGACAAAAATCCCTCCAATTTTCTTTGAAACGAATACAAACTAAGGTCTAGTTTGTCTATAAAATTTCTTGCTAGTTGTTTGCTATTTTACGTTAAATAACAGGCTTATAATTAATCTATTAGATTGGAGAATAATATTACAGTCTCGATCTCAGTATGAAAGGAGAATGTTAATACACAAAGCTGATGCATGCATTATTTTATCTAATGCATTCTATCAAACGACCCCTAAGCTTTTACGTTGCATGATGAGCACCTCTCGTTTTTACCAAAAAAAATTGCTCTTTAGACTTAGAGCCCATTTGGACATACAAAAGTTTTCTTTTTTTTCAAATTTTTTTTTGAAAATAATGTTTGGTTATCCTATCCTTACCAATTTTTCCTTTTTCACTTGAAAATCTATTTTTAAATTTGAAAAACTGGTTCTCACCACTTTTTCAATCACTAATAGGAATTTGCTAGTTTTTAGTTTTACAAAATTTACCCTATTTTTTTACAATTTATAAAATGACCCCATCAGTTTTTCATCTTTGGCAGATACATCTTTGGCGACTAATGGTGGAATATCAGTCCTAGTTGATACTTGAACTCTGTCTACTGGAAGTTTGATTATATGGTTATGAGAAATATGTGGCTATGCCTGCTTTGCACCTTCTCTGTGTTTAGTAGAATTAGAAAATGTGATAATGATTTTGCATTTTCTATGTATTGCAGCAAAGTAGAATATGATAACAGTTAAAAAAGTGCATTTTGATTGTTTATTTCAGAGTTAGTTTTATCCATGGTCATTGAACTTTTGTATTTGTTACCCAAAAGTCACTTTTTTTTTTACGTAAAAATCATTCAACTTTGTGTTCATTACATAAAAGTCACTTTTCTTTCTTTTATTACACAAAAATCATTTTACTTTGCTCTAGTTATCACAAAAGTCACATTTTTACTTGAAAAGTCTATTATGCCCTTGATATTATATGAACCTTCATATTTATGTAATACCTTCTATATTATATACTATATAATATATTTTTAACTATGTGTTTTATTTTATAAAAATAATTTAATATTATTTTATTTATTATTTTTATAATATATTCATATATTTAATTTTTTTCTTAACGTTAATTTCCAAATATATTAGTAGCGTTATTAAATTTGTTAGTAACTTTAATATATATTAGTAGAGAAATAAATCGGCAAGTACATTTCCGTGAGAAAATTCGCAGGTAAACAAACAAAAAGAAAATGAAAAAAAAATCATATGTTAATCCGAAGGAAAATCCCTAGGCACTAATGCGAATTTAGCTGGGGATATTTTCTTGGGGATTTACCTTGGCAATTCGTTTTTTGGGAAATTACACTACTAGAAATTCGGGAAAAACCGTCCAAAAAAATCGACCAAAGTTGGTCGGTAATGGCCAATAACCATCCAAAACGCGATCATTAACGTGTGGTCGGTGTTTTGAAGGTCGGAAGGGCATACCTGCCAAAGTTGGTCGGAAATTAACGACCAACTTTGATCGGTCAATTAAATTCAAAAAAAAGAATTGTTGAAAAAAGTTATTTTATAACGCTACTAACATATCTTGAAAATTAAAGTTAGGAAAAAAATTAAATATACAAATATATTATAATATAAAATACATAGTTAAAAATATATTACATAGTATATAATATAGAAGGTATTATATAAATATGAAGGTTTATATATATCAAGGGCATAATATACTTTTCAAGTAAAAATGTGACTTTTGTGATAACTAGAGCAAAGTAAAATGATTTTTGTGTACCAAAAGAAAGAAAACTGACTTTTGTATAATGAGCACAAAGTTGAACGATTTTTACGTAACAAAAAAAAGAAAAGAAAAATGACTTTTGGGTAACAAATACAAAAGTTCAATGACCATGGATAAAATTATCTCTTTTTTTCAAGTAGGATAATCAAATTGGGGTGGTTTTGATATTTTTTACAAGTTGTGTGATATAAATCATGTTTCATGGTTTTGAAAATAAAGATACCCAGATATATTGCAAAAATTATAACCATACAAAACTTCATTTTCAATTCAAATTTTGGTGAAATTTCAACATTTGAAGAAAAAAAAATGGAATTCATGTCTAAACGCCTACTTAAACTTATAATTTCTCCGTCACAGGATAATAAATTTTACCATTGCAGTAGGATTCTACATCACATGTCTACTAAATAATAATACTAAAAAAGTACTTAAAAAAATGTTAAACTTGAACAGCATTATTAGATACATTGGGTGTAAATAAGAACCACTATTATGACTGGAGCAGAGTAGCACGTCAAGTCTGAGTCTTAACGCGGAATCATATCTTATAAATAGACTCAAAGAGGTACTGAGATACATTCGTTAAAGTAACTCACTTTCCTCCCATTCAACAGAAGAAGAAGAAGAAGAATGGATCTGCTAGACAAGGCGAAGAATTTTGTGACGGAGAAGATAGGGCACATGGAAAAACCTGAGGCAACCATCACCGACGTGGATCTAAAGAAGATCGGTTTCGGTGGCCTTACCTTTCACGCTAAAGTCGCCGTTAAGAATCCTTACTCTGTTCCTATTCCTATCATGGAGATTGATTACGTCCTCAAAAGCGCCTCCAGGTTAGTTCCCAACTCCATTCCCTCTTCCTATTTCTCTCTCTCCACTTTACAATTACCTAAATTACCTTACCATATGTACCTAATTTCTGCATAGTTTATGTATGCACTAGCTTTGTCTCCACCCAATTGTTTTCAGAGGACCTGAGTGTGTTGGATTTTTAGATTCAAAGTGGCGGATCTAACTATACATTCGCAATTCAGTGGGTTGAGTCTTATATTATATGCAAAATTATAAATAAAGTTTGATATACATTTTCGAACTCACTCTTTCGATTCAAAACACAAAAGTTTACATTCTCGATTCGCCAGTGCTCTAAAGTTGTAAGATTCAAACAATTTTTTTTTGGATAATTTTCCTGGAGTAGAAAGACCATTAATAGAGAGAAAGAAAATGTGTGAGTGAATCTTTGGTAGGATTGGGAGTTGGAATGCAGGGTGAATGTTCCGGTAAGATTGGTAGTTGGAGCACGGGATAAATTCAATATTAGGTCAACTGTAATCCCAAAAGATCATAGTTGACTTTTTCTTACAACAGTTCACTGCTTTCTCCCACTATTTGCGAACATGTCCTCTCCCGAAAAGAGAAGTTCAAATTAAAAAGAATATGCTCATTGATTGACATAGGTAGAATTGATATAGATTTGTATCATTCAATTGATGATGGAACACAGGGTAATAGCATCAGGAAGAATTCCAGACCCAGGGAATATAAAGGCAAATGATTCAACCATGTTAGACGTGCCAGTGCAGGTGCCACACAGTGTGTTATTGAGCTTGGTTAAGGACCTTGGTGAAGATTGGGACCTTGACTATACACTCGAATTAGGTCTCATCATTGACCTTCCAGTCATTGGTAACTTCACCATTCCTCTCTCTTATAGTGGCGAGTATAAGCTTCCTACCTTGTCCGACTTATGGAAGGGTACAGGGAAAGAAGAAGAGAAAGAAGATCCAGCAAAGGTTACAGAGATATGAAGTGCCATAGCTATCTAATAATGTGGCTTCTGTATGCCGTTTTTAATTCAACTGTTCTACATAAAAGATTGTACCTTGTTTCTTCTGGAGGGTAGTACTAAATTCCCAACTTTACATTACCCATCATTGAGTTTTGATCTTTTTCATAGAGGTATCATATTTTGCCAATTAAATTACCTTGCTATGATGAAATCAAGAGAACAAAATAACATACTTTAGACAGATGAATTCACAATTTTTGGTTAGTAATTACTGGTCGGCGGAGTTGGTCACTGGAAGGCTGAATGAAAGTTTGCATACACTGTACATACACTTAAGTTGGACCCCTTTCTCAACTTCAAATACTTTTTTTTTGTCAAGCTTCAACCAAATATTGTCCAACTTGCCTACTTGTATTTATGAAATGAATATTAAACAGTTTCCTGGTGTGGGTCGATTTAGAATATCACAATTAACATAAAGGGTAGGGATTTGGCACCCTCGATTTCGGCTTTTCGGCTGGTGCCATTGTTTTGAATTTACGATATTATATATGAATGCTGCTTTGAATTATTCCTGCTTATAAAGAACGCGACCACTAAAAAGTAGTGCTAACTTTTAGGGGAATGATTAATTAGAGTGTGGACCTGCAAAAATTCTGTTTTTTCCTTTTTTTTTTTTCAAAAAAAAACCCTGTAGCATTTACTTTCATTGCCACAAGAATTCTTCGAGACAATCAAATAAAGTGTGGACCAACTCCTCTCTCCTCTTGAAAGATGGGTTTTCATTGTCAAAAGAATTCTTATTTATAAAATTCGGAATATGAAATTAGCCATTAGTAGCTTGGATTCGACTTCTACGTCAGTGGAACTGTTTTCTTTTTCTTGGGCAAACACCCTGCCAAATATCTCTAGATGAGTTCGAGTATATATACCATTTTAGACCAAGTTTATAAGGTCTTTACGGTAAACATAAAAAAATCTGATACAATTAGCGTCAGTTGTGTTAGACATAAATATGACAAGTTAAAAACTATAATCTACACATGTACGAGAGGCATGTGTGCTGAAATAGTTTAGAATCTCTCCTCCTCAATATTTCAAGTTTAAACATAAGAATGGTGAATCTCTTAGTTAAAAGGGCTATAGCCATGAAAACAGCATTTTCTTACATATAGATTTGTTTGATTTCCCAAAATACATTAACTCCATGGAAGCAGTTCCTCGTGGTTATATGTGTTACCTCTTTCTAGTATGCATTTTGATGAAATCTAACTTTCGAATGAAAAGTTGGAAATACATTCAGAACAAATGTAATTAGTACTTATTATGTTAAGCGAGATTTTAGGCTTTACTCATTTGCAAAGATAGAAAAACAGTATGAAGTTTCAAATTATTCTCATGTTTCATTGTCGTCTCCCACCTTCTTCTCCCCCCCCNNCCCCCCCGGGCCGAGGGTAGGGTTGAGGGCGAAAAGCATAACTAATTCTTAATATTGAGATCTTCTTTACCAAACCAAAAAGAATTATTATGATTATTGGTATTTTTATTTAGCTATTGAACAAGTATCTTAGTTAAAAGTCAAGAAATTGATAGTCATAATTTTAGTTGTTACTGATTATTAAATGAGTTGAACACTTTTATTCTTGATGTGACCCTTTTTTTTTTTGGATTACTTACCTTCCTATAACAAAAGTTGATACCTTATTTATTTTAAATAAATACCCTTTTAAAAAAATTATATTTCATAGCTACCTTTTGATTTTTATAGCCAAATATCTATTTATGGCCACCTCCTACTCTTAAGCCATAAAATAAGCTTTGTATTATTTTTCTCTCTCCACTCAAATTTCTCCTATCCCCTCAAATTTCTCGTGTCCCCTATCCCATATCTATTCTCCCTCTCTCTCTTTCATCTTCCACCTTCATTTTACTACCAGAACTCTTCGACAAAGCATTAAATCCATCCAGCTGAAGGAAGGGATACGTTTAATGTATTCTCCCTCTATTCTCCATCCATCTATTTACAGTTACTACTTCGTAAACTAGTTATTATTCCATGGGGAGGAAGTAGTTGCAAGAGGGTAGTACAGCCACGCACCGGGTTTAAAATATCAGATCCGTCAGGTTGTCTTAGTTGGAGTGGGAGTGTCGGTTATCCGTCCGCTTTGTTTCTACTTATAAAACAATATTTGGTATCTAAAATCTATTAGTGCTGTTAGTATTAAGATTCCGAAAATTTGGTCGCTATTCTGATTGATTTACACCTTTTGTTCAAGCACCAATAGTAAATCGGGGCATTTGCATCTATACCTGTTTTTTGTGCCACATTTTAACTTGTGCCCGCTTTGCAAAAAAAATTGCAAGCGTACCCGTTTTTTCACATAACTTCAGCCCACGGGGCTGAAGTTTTTCTTTTGTACTGGAAAACTTCAGCTGAAGTTTTTGTCTTTGTAACCGAAAAACTTAAGTAGTTTTCCAGCTTAAGTTTTCCAGTTATAAAATAAAAACTTAAAGCAGTTTCCAGCTAAGTTTTCTAGTTATACAATAAAAACTAAGACTCTAGAGCTTAAGTTTTCTAGTTATAAAATAGAAACTTAAGCAGTTTCCAGCTTAAGTTTTCCAGTTATAAAATAAAAACTTAAGCAGTTTCCAGCTTAAGTTTTCCAGTTATAAATAAAAACTTAAGCAGTTTCCAGCTTAAGTTTTTCAGTTATAAAATAAAAACTTAAGCAGTTTCCAACTTAAGTTTTCCAGTTATAAAATAAAAACTTAAGCAGTTTCCAGCTGAAGTTCTTATTTTATAACTGGAAAACTTAAGCTCTAGAGCTGAAGTTTTCCAGTTATAAAACAAAAACTTCAGCTCTTTCCAGTTATAAAATAAAAACTTCAGCTCTAGGTTTCCAGTTATAAAATAAAAACTTCAAGTTTTTGTGTTGTAACTGAAAAACTTCAGCTCTAGAGCTGAAGTTTTTATGTTGTAACTGGAAAACTTCAGCTCTAGAGCTGAAGTTTCTATGTTATAAAATAAAAACTTCAGCTCTAAAGCTGAAGTTTGCCAGTTATAAAATAAAAACTTCAGCTCTAGGTTTCCAGTTATAAAATAAAAACTTCAAGTTTTTGTGTTGTAACTGAAAAACTTCAGCTCTAGAGCTGAAGTTTTTGTGTTGTAACTGGGAAACTTCAGCTCTACAGTTACAAAACAAAAACTTCAGCTCTAGAGCTGAAGTTTGCCAGTTATAAAATAAAAACTTCAGCTAGAGCTGAAGTTTCCTAGTTATAAAATAAAAACTTCAGCTCTAGAGCTGAAGTTTTTGTTTAGTAACCCGGAAACTTCAGCTCTTCAGCTCTAGAGCTGAAGTTTTTCAGTTATAAAGGGAAGCTGAAGTTTTTTAAAAAGTGGGTACGGATGCAAACAAAAAGACAAAGCGGCTACAGGTTAAAGAGGGGCGCCCAAATAGGGCGCCCCGTGCAATTTTTACTAGTAAATCTGTCTTATGTTTGGGCCAGCGAGCAATCATCCAATATAGAAATTTTCTCCGGCGTAACAACGGCAACCGGAGGCAACAGTGACGGCAAGGCGACATTAGGGTTGTTCTTGAACAAAGACGACGGAGTTGGGGGCTGAGCAACTTGAATTTTCTGTTAATATATTTCAATGTATCTAGCTGTATTTTATTATTTTCATTGTCTTTTTTTCCATCGTATTTCATTGTATCTTGCTGTATTCTATGTATTTCATTGTATTCATTGTCTTTTTTTCATTGTATTTTCATGTATCCCGCTGTATTTTATGTATTTCATTGTATTAACTGTCTCGCTATAGTCCATGAATGTATTCATATATTTTTTAATTAATATAATTTATGTATTCAGATGTATTATATAGCTATATTTTTGGGGTATTTTTCGGTTGAGAATCTTTTTTATAACTGGAAATACACAATTTGTGTGTTATAATTGAGTTGGTTGAGTTATATTAGGAGACTATTATGTTAATTGATTCACTTTTCGCTTAAAAACAGTGTAATCCCCTGTTTCACGCCGTGAATACAGTCGAATACAATAATATGTCCAACTGTAATCCCATGTTTCACGCCATAAATACAGTCAAATGCACTCGAATACAAAAATCTGTCTAGCTGTAATCCCCTGTTTCATGCCTAGAAATGCTACTGTATTCATGAATACAGTAGCTTAAATACATCGAATACACTCTAGAAATCTGAATACATAACTATAGGAAGTAATATAGTAAATTGTAGCTACAACTAGCTAATAACCACTAAAACATAGTGGTTTCTGAAAGTTTCTCATTCTTTTTCATTGCAAAGTAGCGCTCGCCTAGCTTTTTTCTGCCAAAACTTTCCCTTCATAATGCCCTTTGTGGTTGTAATGGGCCTAAATTTAACAACCTTGATGGGTAAAACTTGGATCGGGTAGCCGTCTATTAGAGCGCTAATCGATGAAGGAATTTTTACCTCCTATAGCAAAGGTTAACACCTTATTTATTTTTAAAAAAATACCATTTAAAAAAAATTATATTCTATAGATACCTTTTAATGTTTATAGCAAAATATCTAATTTTGGTTACCTCCTACCCCTAAGCCACTAAATAAGCTATTCAGTTACACTATTTTTTTCTCTCTCTATTTTGATACATGCCATTCTCTTCCCCCATTCCCTGAAAACACGATGCTCAATCTCAGAATTTCTCTCACCCACATCACCTACCATTAGTCACAAATGGTGATTTTGCCTGGTATACCACGAAGACTTCTCTGACTTTTCCCCTCAATTTTGTGCAACTCAAATGGAATCCAAAGGAGATGAAGCCTCCGAATTTGTATGATTTTTGCTCGGCTACTGTACAGGATGCGTGGGAACAATGTATGATTTTTGCTAGATGGAATCCAAAGGAGATGAAGTGTATGAATAACGTGGGAACAATGTATGAATTTTGTGCAACCCAAATGGAATCCAAAGGAGATGAAGCCAACAAAAATTTGTTTGATTTTCAATACAAGATTCAAGCTTTAACGTCTTGCCATGATTTTTGCTCGGCTACTGTACATGATGCGTGAGAACAATGAGATTCAGGGTTTTTGCTCGACGGAGGATTCGCCGGAAATGAGGGTTTGTTCTTGAACAAAGACGACAGATTTTGGGGCTGAGCAACTTGATTTTCTGTTAAT